AAAGCCTAGAATTCCGGAGTCGTGTTCGACCAATCAGAATTGAATTCTAGATTGCGTTCGACCAATTAGAATTGCTATCAAGTGGCGCGGCATATTGGGTGTTGTTGCTATGGAAAATTTTATACCTCTATTATTTAATATTTAAAATAGAATATTCTGGAGAATATTATTATATTCGAGAATATATTATTTCGCCAGTCTGGTAAATTACTTCACGCACTAGTGCGTAAAGTGAAAATACTTGACGCACTAGTGCGTAAAGTATTTGGCTAAATCTATTTTTTTAGACATTATTTGATTGGTAGTATGCAATACGTGCGTAAAGCACCTTTTTTCACTCATTTGATTGTCGCACTCGCCTTCGACTCGTGCGTCAAAATTGACATTCGTGAAAAAAGGTTCACTTTACACATTTGTTGCATAAATAACTATTGTATGTGAACCATGTCTTGCCGGAAAACAGCATCGATTAAGTTTTGAAAATAGCGAATCAAGGGCCACTGCTCCTTTGGAGTTGGTGCATGCTGATGTTTGTGCGCCTATGGCGACAACGTCATTGAAAGGCTCTCGCTATTTCCTTGTTCTCAGAGACGATTTTTCATCATTCAGATGTGTATATTTTTTAAAGCAAAAATCAGAGGTCAAAACATGCATTAAAAAATTTATAAATTTAGCAGAGCGAGAAACAAGTTTTAAAATGAAAATTTTAGGAGCAGATAATGGTCTGGAATTTATAAATAAAGATGTCAAGGAAATGTTGGATGAAAAAGGCATTCGGCACCAAAGAACTGTTGTCTACACAGCTCAACAAAATGGAAGGGCAGAACGTGAAAATAGAACCTTGGTAGAAGCAGCAAGAACTTTATTGAACAGCACTGAAAAATTAAATAAAACCTTTTGGGCTGAAGCTATTAACACTATTACATACACACTGAACAGAACAGGTAACAGGTCCAAGTCCTCAAAAATATTCCACTCCTTTCGAATTATGGCACAAAAAAACTGTAGATATACACAATTTCAAAGTCTTTGGCAGTACTGTATCCGTGCACATTCCTAAAGAAACAAGGCTGAAATGGGATCCAAAGAGCAAAATGGAAATTTTTATTGGATATGGAGGAGATACAAAAGGATTCAGGGTATATATTCCTGAGAAGCGAAAAATGGAAATCCACAGAGATGTTATTTTCTTGCCAGAAAAAAACTAAAGTAGAAAATAAGACACATAGAGCAATAAAAATGATGGAAGAAAACAATTTAGAAGTAACAAATGACTTGGAATATATGGAGAATAATGAAAACAGATCAGAAAACAGTGAAAATTTGGATGAAAATGCAGGAAATCTTATTGAAAATGAGAATGAAGACAGTAGATAGTGTGTATCAAAGGCAGTGAGGATAATGAAATTGATGAAGAAATTGTAAATAGCAGATCTAAGAAGAGAACGGAGAAGAAACACCAGGTGTGATGACTATGAAATGGATTTACAATAGACACAGTGTTTTTGTCAATGAGTGATAATGAAGAATTTGAAATTAAAGTGTGTTTTTTTTTAAAAGATAAAAGTCAAAATGACATTATGTTAGCAATACAATGTAAAATTGTCAATGCTTTCAAATTTTTTATGTAGAAAAGGTTTGTGTTGCCAACATAGTTACTAAATTTTTGACTTGGGGAATTATCTTTAAAAAAAAAAACAGACTTTATGTGTTATGACGATGCAATGGCTTGTTTAGACTGTAAAAATTTGAAAAAGGCAATCAAAACTGAAATATGTGCGTTGGAAGAAAATCAGACTTGCTTTCTAGTGAGTGAAGAAGAGGTTGGAAATAAAGTTATTGAATGTAAATGGGTGTTTAAGAGAAAGAGAGATGAGTTTGGAAATGTTACAACATATAAGGCAAGATTGATGGCACGGGGTTTTCAACAAACTGGTATGTACATACATACAATTCTGATGTTTCTAGTCCTGTTGCTAAATTACCCTCAATAAGGGTTTTCTTAGTAATGTGTAACAACTTTGAGTATAAAATTTATCAATTAGATGTTTGCATTGCATTCTTGAATGGACTTATAGATGATGATGTGTATATTTCGTTGCCTAAAAGTTTTGATGGGAACGAAGGAAAAATCGCAAAGCTAAGAAAATCCTTTGGACTCAAGTCTTTACCAAAGAATTGGTACAAAAGATTTAATGATCCCATGTTAAGCATAAATTTTAATAGATCAGAAAATGAATATTGTATTTACACAAAAATCACAGAATATTCTAAACTTTTTATTTTGCTTTATGTTGATGATCTCTTATTGGCAGGATCAAATGAAGTAGAAATTAAAGATTTTAAGCAAATTTTAAACAAATATTTCAAAATGAAGGATTTAGGACCCATAAGGCATGTTTTGAGGATGTTAATAACACAAAGTTTGTCACAAAATCGAATATCAATAAACCAGACAACGTATCTTAAAAACATTTTAAAACGTTTCAATATGTAAAACTGCAAACCGTGTAATACATCAATGGAACCAAATTTTAGACATGACGTTTTAAAACGCGAAAAATCAGAAACTGTAGAAATTGAAAATAGATGTCGAAGTGCTATAGGCTCGCTGATGTATGCAATGTTGTGTTCTAGACCAGATTGCTGTAAATGCAAATTAGATATGAGAAAGTGGATAATGATGGTGCATATTAAATTGGATATTTTGATATTGGCTGAAAATACAAGGGAAATTTTAGACAATCCCAGGAAAAATGCCACTGAAGAGAAAGACTACATCAAGAATCAATGGAGCTGAGAGATATACAAATGGCAAAAGAAAATTGACGCCAAAGCACACTCAAAATAATGATATGGCTTTTAAACAAATCAGCTCATTCACATTGCGTTGATATTAGGTGTCTTTCATTCATAATATGAGAAGGACTCTCAAGTCAAATTCTACAATGTAACTGTTTTCGAGTGTGTTGTATTAATACGTTTATAAAATTGTATGTTGTGATGCAGAAAACAGATTACCAGCCAGGTATATTTGGATTGCAATGATGCATCTACCTACACCATTTGAATTACGCACAGAAAATTACATATAATTGGTTAATTAAGTGGCAAAACAACATTAAATAATACAAGATATGTTAACATTTCCAAGTAAAAGTACGTAGGTCAACACAGAACTGTTTAAGACTTTGAATTTGGCGAAATTATACATTGTTTTTAACAATTTTATGTCTATATAAATTTGTTTATAATAAGCCTTGTATTGCCTGGAAATAGAGAATAAATAATCGTAACCTTGGGTGTATCTAACGCAAATTTGAATATTAACTAAGTTTAGGGTTAGACATGGATTTTGTGTCTTTGACCTAAATATAAGCCTAATGATACGTCAAGGAGATGACTTATCCATCATAGCTACCAACATTACATGCCACATTAAACGTGTGATAGTATTTAAGGCTTCAGTCCGATTTTTCCGCAAACAGATCAGATCACCGAAAAGTGACTTTGATAAAAAGTAAATATCTAAGATGGCGGTCCGTGGAAGGGGGGCACGTGGGCCTGCGAGCTAATTTGTGTTCACAGCGGGGTTAAATAAACACATACAGACATGGTTCGGCGTTCCGATGACTGGGCACATTCTGAGCGAACGCATCATTAGTCATTTGGCGAGATACGTTATCTCGGTGACGAGGTGTACTTTTAGCGGTGATTACAACAGACTTCGTGCTTATTGAATTCGTTATGCCGTCTATTTCGGTGTACAGGGTGAGACTTCACTTTTTATTCGTAACCGAATTTCAGTTTAAGCAAAATTCCTATGAAACCGTTTACCCAAACTTCCACTGACATCTTTTAAAGGTCTGTGACTAATGAGGTAACTAATTTACAAAGTCCACTTGAAGCAATATTATTTACATTACACTAATGTGAATCAAATCTTTGGATTTAGACTTATAATTAGTGGTTTCATTCTCGCCCTGTATATGGCTTGAGAAAGAAACTTGATATTCAATTAAATCTTTCAGTATCGTACCTTCTCTTAAAACGGGCCGAAGAGTGGAATGACTGGGCGCCTCTCGAAATCTATTAAGTCGCTTATAAGCAACAAATTTAATAATGACCATGGTGAATGCTATTAAGAACGCTTAAGGAGATTGATCGATCAAAACGTAAGGTCGTAATAGCGCCCTGGTAGACCGCACGCTGCGATTCCGAAGCGCGTTGCGTGGAATTTTGTGGAAGTCCTTTTTTTTTAGCTTGATTTTGCTGAGTATTACTGCGGCATGTGTATATAAGAAAAACTAATGCATGCAGAAGGAAAATTCAAGTTGCCAAGCTTCGTCACGCGTGTCGTATATATGTAAAAGTTGTAATTTAAAAGACAGAACAGGCCGGTATAGAGTCAAGTTAGTAAATCAATAGGCCGATTGTGACACGCAGTTACAAATAACGCGAAAATATGGCTACAAGCTAAACTCGAGTTTAATATGGGCAGTTAAAAGATCATATCGACGATCGGAGTTATGACTTAAGGATCGTTAGCGAGAAGCGAACAGGCAGCAATATACTGGGTGATATAAGAAACATTTTGCTTTCATTATAATAAAACAGCAACACAAAGTTTTGTGTAAAAATTCAACTAGCTTTTTACTCAACATCTTTTATAAGTTTTTCTAGATATACAGATACGGTTTGTTTTACGTTATTTGGGTATTTAATTTTTTTATTAGGAAAAGGTTTTCACCTTGTATATTGACCAAAAGTCCAAGACGAGAATATCACATTGATTTACGTATATCGTGTGACTACAACGATACAATCTGTACGTTGAGCTGGTCAACATATTTATTGGTACCCAGTTACATGGTTATCTTTAATGCGCGTTCTCTGGCTTGAAATTTAATATTTTTCGGCTTCTGTCGAATTAACTGAGATTTGTAGTTTGTTTCATTGGACGATAATAGACTTTCTTATTTATTTGCTTTTTGTTTCAGGGATTGGACGATACTGACGAGTCTACTTTGACACCGGTAAGTGAAAATATTGAAGATACGTTAGTTATAGTTACAACGTTGGTTTGTGCGCAAGTTTTAAATAATGACATTATTATACTGGTTCTTTATATAACTTTGCAAATAATAACATACCTTATTTCATTACTGGCTGTCGCTATTTCCAGTCACTATTGGAACATGCCATATTTCTTTAATTTCTTGTAACATCACTATTTCTAGTTTTGTGGCAATAAGTATTTCACTCCACAATAACTTTGCAAGAACCGAACTACCTTTTGATTGTGGTAACATTGACATACTAGCATTAAACCTAACATCTAGGAATTTGTCATTCGTTCTAGTGTACAGACTAAATGATTCCAAATGAAGATGATCCAAAACTCTCCACAAATACCATAACAAGCCTTGCTGCCAACCACCAAAATCCTATTATAGTTGGCGACTTTAATCTTCCCAGAATTTCATGGCCACTAGCGGATCTATGTCTATTGAGGGTTGGGGCAGCTCTTTTAGGGAAAACTCTTAGGTCTACGCCAGATCATTACCAAACCAACCCGTTACAGAGAGGATCAAACCCGATCACTCTTGGATCTGGTCATAGTCAATGACACACACCTTATAACCCATTAGAAAATCAGACCACGAACTATTTAAACTGACACTGCGAGCAGGACTTGTTAACACAGATCCAAAAACAAGAGTACATAGAGTGAAACACATAAATTATGAAGATCTATCATCATATATTGCAAATCAACTGAGAAGAAGTTCAGTAGTTTCTGATGACAATATAGATCACATAATATGAGCCAGTTTCCACTCAGAACTAGAGACAATATTAGATAACAACACCGAATACAAAATCAAGAGAGTGAATAAACTAAAACCATGGATAACTAACAACCACATCCGAGACTGTAGGAGAGAAAGGGCCTTATGGAAAAGGTACTTATGTATCAACAATCCCACTAAATACAGGGTACATCGCAGCTTCTCCAACACTCTTAACAGAAAAAATCAAAGAAGCTAAGCTGGCATACATTAACAGCCTAACAAACGTCGAGAACACCAAAAAACTACACAATTACATTAGATCACAACTGAACACCAAAGTAGGCATTCCTATTTCAAAAATTCCAAATGGGGAAATGTGCACAGACAATATTGGCGAACGAGTTTTCTAAAGTATTCACGACGGAGGCATTAATTCCTGAAGATCTCCAAATAAATTTCGACAGGATACCGGATGAAATCACAATTATCCAAATCACAAGCCAAGACATCCCTAAGAAGATAAAAGCCCTGAAAGTAGCCAGCTCTCTAGGTCTGCATGGAATATCCTTATTAGCTTTTAAAAAGTGCTCAAACAACCTTGCTGTTCCCCTATGCAAAATAATGAATATGTCACTGGAGCAAAAAAGACTCCCCGCCGCTTCTAAAGTTGCATCAGTCACCCCGATATACAAAAAAAGTGATAAACTAGATGCTGGAAACTACAGGCCAATAAGCTTGCTACCCATTGCAAGCAAAATTATGGAATCCATGGTCGCAGAAAATCTGAGAGGTTTTCTTCAACAAGAACAATTGAGTCCAACTCAACAACCTGGTATCAAAACAGAGTATGCCTTCTTGACTGTCATAACAACTGGACAAATCATTATTGTGTATTAATGGGTCAGTACTGGTTAGTGTTCAGTAACACAATGATTTTGGACTTCTGTTAATCAAAGACTTGATCTGGTCAGCACATGTGAGAACAATATGCAAAAAAGCTAACAGCAAGTTATTCCTCCTGAAGAATGTCTTCCCAAACACCCCCCAAGAAGCGTTTACAAAACTGTACAACATATGCAGGCCAATCCTAGAATATGCAGGTCTGGCTTGGCACCCAGACCTCATTAGAAACGCCAATAGTGTTGAACAGAGAAAAGCAACACGATTGCAACTTGGTTGGAGGAGACTTACATATGAGGAAAGACTAGAACAACAAAAACTGCTGAGCTTCCAAAATAGAAGAACAAGAGGACACTCCACACCAACATTCAAACAGTTAAGACACCTCTCTGCCTTGAACACAGACAAGAGAGTAGATACTCCGGGGTCACAGTGAGATCACTGCTATAACTTTTGAACCCTTTGTCTGATTTGGCAAATTTTTCATGGTAACTTAAAATGGTGTTTTTAGAGTACCCTGCAAATTTTTAAGGGCAACTGCTATAGCAATAGATACCCAGGGACATCAAATGCGATGTCACAGGACACCTTACTACTGTATAGTGTCCCGTAGTTACTTGCAGTGACCCTGACAGCACTTGCCACTCATAAGAAAATACGTGTTACAGATTTAATTTTTTTTTCCACTCCATAGGACAGTGCCCAACATATTGACGGTTTGCTGCGAGAAAGTAAACATGAGAGACCGTGTAGTCATACAGAAATTATTTATTCTTGCACAGTAGGGATTTTCTAAAACTTGTTTTTTTTTCGACTGCTATAACAGAACTGCCTCAGATAACAGTCAACATTTTAATGCTAAAGCAGCTACTCTTCGCGAATGTCTGGTCATAGGTTGAATTGTGAAGTTCCTCAGAGTTTTGTGTTTGAACCAAGGTATTCTGTGGATGACCCCCTGCGTGCAAGTTCGTCAGCCTTTTCGTTGCCTAGGGTACCTTTATGTCCTGGCACCCACAACAATTTGACGTTATTTTGGTCCGCCAAGTGGTTGAGTTCTCGGCATTCTATTACCAGTACAGAGTATGCCTTAGGGTTCTTTAATGCCCCCAGTGTTGCCTGACTGTCTGTGAGTAAAGTGAGTCTCCTGTCTTTGCAGGCCCTCATATTGTTGATTCTTGCGAATTGTAGTATTGCATATACCTTTGCCTGGAAAACAGATGTATGTGACCCTAGAGAGAAGAAGGTCTCGCATCTTCCTTCTTGACTGTAGAACCCTCGGTAGAACTCTGCACCTCAGTCTTTGACCCGTCCCCGTGTACCAGGTCTGGCCTTTGAGATTGGAGATTGCATGTTGGTTTTCCCATTCCTCTCTTTCACTAATTAGGACTTGGAAGGATATGTCGGGTGAGCATTTGGGAGGTGCCTAGTCCGTTATCATGTCGAATACTGTCAGATTTATGACCGTTTATTTGTGTGTGGCCTGGTTAGTTTGCTTAGGTTGTTTCGTTGTCTGTGGAGGCCCATCCTGGCTTCCGCCTGAATCACAATGTGTAGCGGAAATAGGTCTAGTAAGACTTCCATAGCTGTTGTTGGTGTGCTTTTCATGCACCCTGTATTGCCCTGCCAAGTCTCATTCTGACTCTGTCTTGTTGTGTCTTTGTCCACCATATCAAAGACGCATAGGTTATTGCTGGCTTTACAACCGTTGTGTATAGCCAGTGCATCATGTCCGGCCGCAGCCCCCAGGTTTTTCCGAAAGTTCTCCTGGCTAGTATAAGTACTAGTTCTGACCTTTTAATTACTTTGTCCAGATGTTTGTTCCAAGTTAAGGCGATGGTTACCAGAAAAACAAAAAACTATAAGATCAAGAGATGTAAAAATGGATGAAAGCATCATGAAATACAAACATACTGAGGAAAACCACCTATTTAAAATATTATTTCTTCAAATCTCAATTTTTTTTAAAAAAAGCGTTAACTGAATAAAAATAAATGTTGCAACCTTGTATGCGCCGTGAAGCGTACTGGGGGTACCAAACCGAACGGGAGCTAGAGAAGAGGCGATTAGGCATTAGAGAGACTTGAGAATAAGCTGGGGCTGTTCCTTTAGATGCGTGTCTGTAATTATTCATTATTCAATTTTCATTTCTATTTTGCATTGAAATTGATTGTTCAATCCAATTTGTTATTAGTGTGTGTATAAAGAGCGTTCACAGTTAGTGGATTAAATGTTATTTTGTTTTTGAGAGTTCAATTTATGCAAATTCCTATTATTTTGTTAATTTTTATGTATTTTTTTGTTTGTTTGTAACATTTTTTATAACATGTGCATTGTTCATGTATTTAACAAAAATCGTTTCATACTGTAAACAACACAGATAAAGAAGTAAATTAGAACCTAAGAAATTATGTGCTGTCTTTTTGTGCTGAGATTTTGATTTTGTGGATTTAGAGCGTGCATTAGAGCCTTGTTGAATTTACTAACATTTTCCTACCCTGACGAGAGAATATCCTAACAAATTGAAATAATCAATCTAGAGATATTGGCTCAAAAACAACTATAGCTGAGTAGCTTCCCGTATGGGACCTCAGTATCCGCTGGGAAACTGGCTAACTAACAAAAAAACTCTTCAGAAGAAAATCAAGAAAATTTATGAACGGTATTGGAAACAATAAAGAAAATGAATCAAATTCCAGAAGTGACAGTGAAGGCAGTGATAGTGAAAGTTCCAGTTCAAGTGATGAGAATAGAGAATGTTTGCCTTTCGAACAAAAAATGTCAAGATATGGAAGATTAGTAGTTCCGCCTAAAAATTTAGAAGATTACGAAGTTTACACTGCATATTGTTTATTGACCGAGACAAACCCAGAACCCAAAAATTTGGAAGAAGCCATTAAATTACCCGATTGGCAAGAAGCAATAAGCAAAGAACTGAACGGTCATTAAAAATTGGGAACTTGGCAAAATGCAGAGTTATCTAAAGGTCAAGTAGCAATAGATAAAATCAAAGATGATGGTACTGAAAAGGCTAGCAGATTGGTGGACAAAAGGATTTCAAGTGCCCTATAATAATAGACATGAGGTTTGTTATGCTCCAGTTTGCGGACTATCAACAATAAGACTACTGTTCTCAGTTTCTGATCAAAAAGATTGGAAACTTCATCAAATAAATGTTCTAACTCCATTTCTGAACGGATTTTTGGATACATACATATTTATTTACTTAATAGATACTACTTCAAAATGTCTTGAACTGAATCATGCGTTATACGGTCTGAGCAATGCTCCAAAATGTTGGAACATTAAATTTAACCAAGTGATGGAAAAACTTAGAAAACGGA